CTTCTGCTTCTCTCCATTTCCTCCTGCCTTCTCTACCACCATTAACGCTTTGCCATTCATTCACAAGGACTCAGGCCAGAAATGTAGGAACCTGGACTCCTCTCTCTCTCCCATCAAATTATTTCCAATTCCAGTTTCCATGAAGTCAAGCACCTTTCCATTCATTCTATGCAGCCAAGCTCCCACCACTTTTGGCTTAGCCTACGGTAGCTGCCCCTTACTAGTCTAAACCTCCTTGCTAGACTCTTTTCAAATTGAGATTCAATCATGTAACTCCTCTACCTGGATTTTTTTCAGTGGCTTCTGTCATTTTTAGGCACAGACCTAAACTTTGAGACAGGGTCTCACTCTGTCACCCAGGCTAAAGCACAGTGGTGCAATTATAGCTTACTGCAGCTTCGACCTCCTGGACTCAAAGGATCCTTCCACCTCAGCCTACTGAGTAGCTGAGACTACAGGCACATGGCACCAAGCCTGGCTAATTTTATTTTATTTTTTTGTAGATTTGGGGTTACCCAGGCTGGTCTCAAACTCCTGAGCTCAAGCAATCCTCCCACCTCTGCATCCCAAAGCGCTGGCATTACAGGTGTGAACCACTGTGCCCAGCAGATCAAAACTTTCAAATATAGTATATAAGATCCTCTGAGAAGAGACACTTGCCTACTTTTCACCCGACTGGCAGGGTGTCATGGCCTTTGTGCTTTGTAAGCTCTAGCTTCCTCTGTTGTCCTCCTGCCAGCTCCTGGAGCTCTTATCGGTATCTCAAAACAGCTAAAACTAGCACAAGGACATCTGGGAGGCTAACCTCATTCTCTATCCCATCCCTCTGAAGCTGGGTGAGTTATATCTCCTTCTGTATGTTGCTGTGTACAGGTCTGAGACATTAATTGTACTTATTTTACTCCACTGTGTATCCACAGGATTGTGAACCAAGCCAGCACAACATTGTCAATCATGTATCTGCACTAGCCAGCACAGAGCCTATACCACAGCAGTTGCTCGCTCTCGCTCTCTCTCTCATATATATATATATATATATATATATATATATATATATATAATGGAACATTAGCTGCTAAGAATATAAAGTCAATTTCTACTCTTGCCTCAGACCTCTGGTGCTGCTATCCTAAAACTGGTTATAGGCCTCATGGATAAATGTTTAAAAATGCTGGGTGATGGGGAGGCCTGAGTGAAAGGTCTGGATGGATGCAATAGAGTGAACCCATTACCACAGCTACAATACTCAGCGGCGGATGAGCTGCAAGTGGTATCTCCATTTTCAAAGGAGGAGTGGCAGAATTGCCCAGAAACCATGATGTTCACATATTTCCATTCTGAATAACATGATTACACAAAACATAAACTAACTTTTTACAATTCTTTTCTGGCATGGTATAACAGAAAAATAGTTAATAGACTCAGTCATATGATCTAACATACTGTTTGAGAGAAAATTTTACTCCAATGAGCTTTCATAAGTAATTCCTTTATAAGTCTTTCCATTTGTGTTGTATATATTTATGCTGTCATATTGCTACAAATATGTTGTATGATTTCAAGTAAAAAATATGAGTTTGAGGAGAAAGGTGAAAATCTGCTAATGGATGAGAAATTCCAAAATCAATCTTAAAAACCTAATATTCAAATCGATTGGCCTGTAAAACCAGAAAAATCAAATCTTAGGCTTGAGCTTCCACATGCTCACCAAGAATCCACCTGCACCAGCACTTATAAATTTATAAATATGCAAGAAAGAAGGCAAGATGCCTTCAGAGTAGGACTTAAGACTTATAGAAAATAAGAAAACCAAGTGCAATGGTTAAAAATACAGTTACATGTCACGTAGCAATGTTTGGATAGACCAAATATACGATGGTGGTCCCATTCGATAATGAAAAGCCCTATTGCCTGGCTACATCTTAGTTTTCATAACATCCTACCACAACATATTACTCATGTGTGTGTGGTGATGCTGGTGTAAACAAATCTATTGCACTGCCAGTTGTATCAAAGCATAGCCTATACAATTATGCACAATACGTAATACATGACAACGATAATAAAGGACTATGTTTTTGGTTTTACTCTTCTAATACTCTTACGGTTCTTTTAGACTACACTCTTGTTTAAAAAAATGTTAAATGTAAAACAGTCTCAGGCAGGTCCTTCTGGAGGTATTCCAGAAGAAGTCATTGTTATCACAGGAGACGACAGCTCTATGCCTCTTATTACACATGAAGGCCTTTCAGTGGGACAAGACATGGAGGTGGAAGACAGTGAGATTGATAATCCTGACCCTGTGCAGGCCTAGGCTGATATATCTGTTTATGTCTTAGTTTTTAATGAAAAAGTTGAAATAGTTAAAAAATAAAATAAAAAATGCTTATAAAATAAGGATATAAAAATATTTTTATATGGCTGTATGATATGTTTGTGTTTTAAACTAATTTTTAGTAGCAAATCATCAAAAAGATTTTTAAAATTAGGTTTACAAAGTTAAAAAGTTACAGTAAGCCAAGGTTAACTTATTATTAAAGAAAAAATTTAATAAATTTAGTGTAGTTCAAGTATACAGTGTTTGTAGTCTACAGTAGGGTACAATAAGGTCCTAGGCTTTCACATTCACTCACCACTCACTTGCTGACTCACCCAGAGCAAATTCCAGGCCTGTATGCTCTACCCATGAAGTGTCCTATACAATAGGTATATCTTTTAATTTAACCTTTTATACCGTATTTTTTTTTTACCATACTTTGTCTATTTTTAGACATGTTTTCATACACAAATACTTACCATTGCATTATAACTGCATACAGCATTCATGTAACATGCTGTACAGGTTTGTGGTCTAGAAGCAATATGCTGTATCGTACAGCCTAGAAGTATAGTAGGCTACTCTATGACGTTCATACAAAAACAAAATCACCTAATGACACAGAATCAGTCTGCATCCCTGCCATTAAATGACACATGACTGTATTGCTGACTCTCAGCCTTACATCCTCTTCTGGCAAGGTCAAATTATAACAACATAGTGGATCACTCAAATTTTTGATACCAAGTTATAGGTTACAACTTCTCTATCAGGTCTTTCAGAATTTAGCTTCTCTTAATCATGTTTGGAGGTTCTAGTGGGGAACGCAGCTACTCATATACCCTTGACTGAAGACCTGTCCTATCGGGGATGGTCATCCTCTTCAACCAAGCCAAGCATGCAGCTTTGGGAGGGACGCTCATGGAATGGTGAGGGAGGAAGGGGACACCTGCCTAGTTGGCCAGTTCAACCAAATCAACCCTGGTGATCAATGGGGTGACAGGTCTCACAGCCTGATCGTCCTCACATCCAGAGTTTAGCTTCTCGATCTACCTCTAAGATCAGGCTATTTAATTACTAAGCAATAGTCATAGCCACCACTTACTGGGAGTTTATGTCGGTAACTACGCATATTAACCAAATCTTCACTTGTATATGCTTTGGTTCTTAAATATCTAAAAAAGCACCTTATTCCACCACCTCAGACACTTGGTGTTTCAAATTTACATTCCAAATAAACTATTGGGTTCAGTTATAAATTGTGAAAATAAAAGTATAGAAGTTTTTGGTCTGAAAAATGTTATCTTCCCTATCTTTACAAAAACTAGATCAATATTTTAAAATATGAACTATAACCAGAAATATATTAATGTTGTTGAAACATTATTTTAGGAATATAAAATAATTTTCTTAAAGGCATGGAATAGTAATCAAAATGCTAATTCTGTAACTGGTCCTGCCTCTTCCATAGAAACAGAGATCTCTGTGAAGCATCATTTAAAAACGAAAAGGAAACCAGCAGAACCAGGACATACATATCAGCTGCCCTTGCCCTGTCCAAGTTTTTTAAACACAAATACATACTGCCTAGTAGTCATCATGTAAAAGGTCAATTTCTCCATCGACTCCTTTTCTCATCCATATTATAATACTAACAATTCCATTCTCTTAATCAAATATTTGTTTCTGCATATTATTATTATTAATATACATGGCAAGACAACTATCAAAACCTAAGGCATTCCATATATAACTAAATATATTCTTCAATTATTTTATCCTTTTTTATTATTAAAGAAAGAAATTTGAAATTTAGTATTTATTAAATTTCGGCAGGCACAATTATTTCTACCAAAATCATTACAGGAATGCACATCACTGCTACAAAATTCATGTTAAAATGTAGAAAATACAAGTAAAGGTTGAACAAATAAATATGACACAAAAATAAAATGCAGAAATGAGAAGAAATACACTTGGGAAAGAGGCAGGATTTTCCAAATCCTCTTTGATAGAACATTCTTTCCCACTATGAGAATGGGAGGTTTATAAACTCACTTCTGGTTGCAGAAATAGTTTATGTCATATCTAAAATGCATTTGAAACCATAGGCCTTGGCGGAAATGCTGTTCCCATTCTTTGTATTCAATGCTGACAAGAGAGGTCAGGTGGAGGAAAAGTAGGGAAAAACAGAGAAAAGGGTGTAATGCAATGAGCTAAAAGGAAACACCATGGAGGACTGAAAAGCACTGGGCAGCCTGGACTGCCAAAAAGCACTGAAGACGCTCTCAGGAGAGATGGGGAATGGCGGGGAGGGGGGTGGCGAAAGGAGTAATGTTGCAATTTATCCACTATTCAACCTTCATCCTAAGGCAATTCTGATTCCACATCATCCATCGAATGGCCTGTCAATCAAAGAGGAAAACTGAAAAACACTAACTTCTACTACTACCACCATCTATAAATGGCAAAATCATATGATCATTAACACTCCTCAAATTCTAGATCAGCAACCATTACTTTGGTTAAACTGATCAAAACATAGAAAATTTTAAAAATTAAGGTACAGTTAATCTCTCTCAAAATATTTATCCTTCGTAGATTCATTATAAAGCCTTTGGTAATATTAACAGAATTTATAAAAATAACAAAAGAGGAAAATACAACATATAAAATGTCATACCTGGTGGTACTTCCTGTTGTTCTTCCACAGGAGGAATGCTTACTTCTAAAATAAATTTAAAAAAGTTATAATCTGTTACATATTGCCGATCAGTGTTTAAAATACGCATTGCCAGATTTAAGTAATGATGACACTTTTCATAGACTAAAAAAAAAATTCAATTGAAATTACCATAAAAACATTAGGCTTTTATACTCTCACAAAGAACAATCAGCTACAATGTAGCAAAATGTTGTGTATTTCTCAACAGTTCAGCACAGTAGGTTTTAGAGTACCTGCCTAACTTCAAACTCCATTGCCCAGCAAAGGAGCTATGGACTAAAACCTACGCTTTCACCATAATTTTGCATCAGATTTGCTAACAGAACTGTGGAAAGACACTTAAAGCATCTTGTTTCTTCTTTAATATCAAACACTATTCTTCATAAAGCTGTTTTAGAAAACTAACATTCAAGGTAATATATTCTAAGACTAGTCAAAGATGTGAATGTGAACATTTAATACCTTGTCTTTTTTCTTGGTTTCTTCAATGCAATTACAACTAAAGAGATGGTAGATGTCCCCACTCAATGATTTAAAGACATAATGATCTCATTTGCTCTATGAAATTACATCACATATTAATATCTTCAAACCTAGCAACCCATTTAATGTTACCTTAACCTAGTAATAAGATTACGTCAACATTCCTTTTGGTCCTTACAAACTGTTAACAGCCTTTGGCCAAAAGAAAGAATTTTTAATAGCATTTTCTAAAATATAAAACATTTATGGAGCTATTTTAATCATTTTTTGTCTTGCATTTACTTGATTCTAATTATAAAAGTGACACATGCTCAAACCAGAATATCTGGAAATATTTTACATAAAAGGTAGTTGAAACAGCAACAAAAATCACACCTATTCCCACTAACCACTGTTAGTATCTGGTAATATTTCTTTCTTATAATGGCAGTACAGTGAGTATTGAATAGCTATGTTGTGACTGGCTTTTAGTAGGTTTGCCTGTTTATTCTGTCCTTATTTGGAGACATATTAACACATTATCAACTTTGCCAATGTTTTTCTCAGAATTTCTTTGGTTATTCTAGGCTCAAAATATTGTACATCATAAAGTATTAGTTGCTGCTTTTGTTATTTCCATCACTGATGACTAAGAAAGCCTTATTGGTAGTATTTCAAGTTAAATTTTCATCCAAAGTTATTACAAAAAATATGTATTCAATAAACTCAAATGAAACTTCTTCTGGTATATGATGTAATAACCTGATTTCTAAAAGGAAACAGTGAATTAATTTTATCAGCACAATCTCGGTTACCTATTTACATAGCCTACTTTTTCTTACTTCAGGTCTTTTTGAACCCACTTCATTTCGTATGGCTTTCACTTCCCCTAATTTACTCAAATGGCTTCTGGTAAGATCATCCACAATCTCCATGTGGCCAAATGCAACTGATATTTCTCAGTCCTGAAATTCCTGGGCCACTCAGTAACAGCATGAAACATATTCCCACTTTTCCTTCTCTACTCTTCACTGGTTTTCCCCCTCAAACAATGGCTATTCACCTTCCATCCAACCTCACAATATTGGATTCTTAGAGCTCAGTCCTGGGCATGCCAATCTATCTTCACTCACCTCCAAAATGATCACATCAGTTTCCATGGATTTAATACCATCTCCATGATGATGGCTCCCAAATGTTTATATTCATCTTAGAACTCACCCAACTAGGGCTGGGCACGGTGGCTCACGCCAGTAATCCCAGCACTTTGGGAGGCCAAGGTGGGTGGATCATCGGTCAAGAGATCGAGACCATCCTGGCCAACATGGTGAAACCCTGTCACTACTAAAAATACAAAAAATTAGCTGGGTGTGGTGGCACATGCCTGTAATCCCAGCTATTTGGGAGGCTGAGACAGGAGAATCGCTTGAACCCAGGAGGTGGAGGTTGTGGTGAGCCGAGAATGCGCCATTGCACTCCAGCCTGAGCAACAAGAGCGAAACTCCGTCTCAAAATAAAAAAATTAAAAAAAAAAAAAAAACTCACCCAACTAGTTCAGGATGGCATATCCGACACCCCATTTGACACTTCCACTTGGATATCTCACATAACTCCCAGAGTTAAAATGTCTGATCTGGAGCCTTTTATTTTCTCCCCTAAACCAGTTTCCTCTATAAGGTTGATGCAAAAGCAATTGTGGGTTTAGCTATTACTTTTGCACCAATCTAATCCATTCTATTAATAGTTTTCTTCTCTATAAATGGCCCCATCATCGAATAGTTACTTAAATTAACTAATAAATACTTAAACCAAGTAAACTCTTTATTCCCCATCTTTGCTTCACAACCATCAGAAAGGTCAATTAATTTTAATTCTAAAATATATCTCAGGTTCAACAATTTCCCCTCCATTCCCACTGCCATGATCTTATTTTAGGCTGCCACAATCCTTCCTTGGATTAGTAAACAATAATTTCCTAACAGTGTGGCTCCCTCTGCTTTCATTCTTGCTCCATTAAATCTATTTTCTAACTAGAAGTGAAAGCAATTCACTTTTACATCTAAAAAAAAAAATCAGATTATGCTCTATCTTGTTTAAGAATTTTCATAATTCACATGTACCTAGAATATATTCCAAAACCATAGTAGGCCTTGCAAGGCCCTGACTGATCTGTACCTACCTCTTTTTTGCTTAAGCCAGTTTGAGTTTGGTTTTCTATTATCTGCAACTGAAAGTAACCAGTGACACTGATGGAGAATAACACAAGGGTTTAAATACAGGGCTGATACTTTTGGACAGATCATCCTAATGGCATGTGAAAGATGGATTTGAAGAGGACAAGTACAGAGTCAAGATGTCTAGCTCGCAGGCTACTGCTGTCATCTAGGAAGATGAGAAGGGGCTGAGCCAGATAAGGGGCTATACACAAGCTATAAACAAATGTATTTGAGAAATGTTTAGGGAGTCTATCAACAGGTCTTTGGATTAGTTATAGAGACAGGGAGAGGAGGACTCAAAAATGAGTTCCATGTTTCTGGTCTGGCAATCCAAGTATATATTGAAACAACCAGCCAAGATAAGAGGAGTTAGGAAAAATGAGGGTGGCATGTGTGAGAGACGAGCTCCCCTCACTGTCCATTCAGGCACTGGAGGAGCCCACCCCAGAAGCTGCAGGGTGGGCAGTAGGTGGACAGCTGGGTGTCCCACTGCCCAGGACAGGCAACTCCCTTAGCAGTCTCTGCTACTCTTCTACCAACATATCAAAACAATGAAAAGTATGAGGAAAAAAACCATTTCTAAACCAAGAAAGGTAGAGTCAAATTGCTTACTGTGATGTTAGTTCTTTTCTATAAACCATATGTGGGGTGGGCTGGAGAAAGTTCTTCCCAGTGATTATGGGTTTCCATCTTCTGATTCTCACCAAATAAATGTATAGACTCAGAAATATTCTTCAGAACATTAACATTCCTCATACAGAACTGAGTCACAGAAGGTGGGAAAAAAATCTCAACTCAATTCAGTACACAAGAGCCCACAGCATCTGTACAGGGTCTCTCCCAGCAGCTAAGTGAACACAGAGAGCAGTTTTAGCCTCCCCCATTCCCTCACACCTAACTCCCTCCATTTCAGTCAACTGTACCATTTCATTTTCCATTCTGCCTAACCAAGCTCAAAAGCAGTAACATTTAATCTGAAAGATGACAATCAGCTGCCCCTAAATGAATTTTAAGAGTAATCGTATGAACAAAATTCTTCCTGTTACATGCTTCCCCTGGCAACTTATGGTTGTTAGAGCAGACACCCCCATACCCCCATAACTTCACACCCCCAATGCAGAGTCACCCACGGGTCCCAGTCGTGGGTTGAATATCCTCTTGGTCACTTACAGCTACGGCACCTAGGGCTAGCCAGTCACCTGATCTCACTCCAGCTTCAGGCCTTCATTTGCAAAATAAGTACAAAGGTCTCTGCCCTCCTTCTTTCTCAGTGTCTACTACGAGGAGCAACTGAAATAATATATATGTGAAAGAACTCTGGAAACTGCTAAGAAATATATTTAAATCTAAGTAGTACTGAAGCGTCACTGTTTAACATATGCAATTATTTTTATTTTTCAGAATCATCCCTTCAGTTCCCCCAACCAAAAAAACAAAAAAATTGTTTTGTTTTTCCAGCTGAATCATGACATAAAAGACCCATCTTTCAACCCATCTCTGCCCATAGCTATGCCCTTCTCACCAGATCACCCCTTGGGGGTGGCCACCTGCTCCTACTCAGGGTAGCTCTCCATACCCTCATCAATTGTTTGCTGTTACAGTATATCCTTGTACTTCTCATAATCCTTAATTCCTTTATTTATCACCTGTTTGGCCACTGGAAGGCCAGCCCCAATGAAAACAGGACTCTGTCTTCTTTCCTTTTGTACTCCTAGCTCCTGAGCACTGTATAGACAGCAAGTAGGAAATGCTCGATACACACTGGAATAACCAAACATAATTCTCATATGGAAGGTAAAACCGTTTCCGTAAATTAACTTACCTTCTACAATTATCTTTGAATCTTCTACAGCATTATCCTCAGGGGGAACAGTTACTTCTAAAATAAATAGTAAAATCAGAATTCATTACATGTTGCTGATCAGTGACACATCTTACATTTAACTTGCCTTCACTCAGATTCCTAAATTAACTCATGCCCACTCAGATTGCTAAATCTGACTCTTTTTAAACAGGGTCTTCTGATGGATAATATTTATACTAGAATATTAACTTTCATTTTGATACTCAATTATTTTCTTACTGACTTGAAAATGTCTTGCATTTTTACTACACTCATTCTTTGCTCCACAAGTAAGAGACACAACAAAATACAGGGGGAGCAGAAAACATCTGCTTACAGAAAAAACTTACCTGTGATTTCTACACCTTCATTTTCTGGAGGTTCATATACTACTAAAAAAGAAAAAAAGGAAGATAAATCCTTCAACTTTCATTATAACACAAAAACTGACGACATGCTTCAAGGGCGGAGACAATGCCTTACACATCTTTGAACCTGCACAGTTTAGTCACTGGGAAACAGCCCACTAGAAAGTAGGGTGGAGATAAGTTTGGTCCAGAGTAAAACAGGTCTGGATTCTAATTCCAGGGCAGTCACTTACTACCTTTTAAAATTTTTCTTCACATCTTTGGTGGAGGTTTTGAATTAGCAGAAGCTGTACCCTGCAAATCAACTGGATACTGGTGTTCATGGGCAGATTCCCTGCTTTGTTTAGGAAACAATTCTCAGACCTCTAACCTGGGGCCAAATGTCTCTGCTGCCAGCCCCTGAGAATGAAGGGTTCCCCACCCTAACAAGGGTGCACCGCCCTTGCCTCCCTCATTGGTTGGCATGAGGCTCAGTGCTTCTTCTCTGCTCTGCTGCAAGGAAATCTCATCTCCACGCAGACCTCTCCAGGGCCCAGTGGATCATAGCTTCCTTGGTCAACCTGATCTTCCAAAATACCTCCAATTTTCTGATACACTACAAGCAAACATCCTTCTTTTTCCCAGCATGGTTATAAGTTTATTCTTTCTTATTCATTTAATAAAGAAAAATTATTGAGTGCCTGGTGTCTTTCAGACATTCTCAGTGTTGGGGTACAGCAGGGAACAATGTTTAATGTGTTTGTCCTTTTGCCGGATTTGCAAGAGAAAGGAGCAGTGAATGTGTGCTCACTGTATCACCCTGAGCAGCGTCAGCATTTAAACATGCTCTAGCCTCTACGGACCTAAAAAAGCAACACCACTCTTTCTTAAGCTTGCTTCCCCTCACGCTTTCTTTCTTCCATTGCACAATCTAATTTCTTCAGAGTCATTTACATCTCATGGCTCATCTCTTCCGCTCCTCTCAACTCACTGCCACTTGTCTTCTGGACCCCGACCCTACCCCTGGAAAGCCTCCTGCTGAACCCCCACCCACCGCCAGCACCTCATTTGATCTGATGGACACTCACCTGCCCTCACTGTATTTGGCAACACCATTCTTCTCTAAACACCGTGCCCCTGGACTTCAGGGTGATCATACTCTCCCCTTTGGTCTTTCATTTCTCCCCCTCAATCTTCTTTTTCACTTCATCTTTTTCTTGGCAGTCATTAAATGCTGGCTTTCTTCAAAGTCCAGCCAAAGAACCGCCTCATGTCTCCGTCTATGTGCTCTCCTTGAGCTTGGTCCTGATGTCCATGTAACTACTCTGATGATCCCCACACTCACAATCATGAAGCAGACTTCTCTTCTGAGAGTCAAACACCACCACATGGCTCGTTTGATCTCTCCTCTTGGATGCCTCAGAGAAATCTCACTATCACCACTTATAGAACTGGACTCATGAGCCCCTGCCCTGTTCCCTATCTCCAGTCTCTCCCGTGTTAGGAGAAGAGCACCCGCTGCCATCAGGCTGCACAAGCAGAAGAGTAGGTGTGGCTCTTGGCACCTTGTTGTCTCCCCTCAGCTACACCCATGCATTGAGACCTACCAATTTTACCTTCTAAGTGTTTCTCAACTTTGCCCACTTCTGTCCTCCATCACTACCACCACCCTGGTTTGAACTATCATCTCATCTCTGTCCTATCCATCCACTGAAACAGTTCCAATTAAAGCCACTGGTGAGGCCATAGCAGCGCCAGATCAGGGCAGGTTTTCAGCACTCATCTCACATGGTTCTCAGTAGCACAGGGCACCACTGAACATCCCTTTCTTGAAACTGATCTCCTTTGGTTCCTTATCAGGCAGACAGAGATGTGACGCAGGGAAAGACCCGATTTGGATGATTACAGCCAAGTTAACTGTTCTCCCTGTATTGACTCTTGTCTCTCCAGTCTGTTTGTTGCATGCCAGACTGATCAGTCTTTTCAAAATGCAGATCTGATTTTGCAGTGCTCGAAGGTGAAGAATGAATGTCCGTGGCCTCGCCTACAGGCATCCTCTGAACCCAGCCCATGTCACCACCTCAGCCTTACGCTTGCAAGTTCACGTCAGAGACCTCATATGACTCTCCAGCTGCCTTTCCCCTTGCCTTGTCAATTGCTCCGACCTTCAGCTCAAACTTCAGGAAGGGCTCGCCTCACCCACAAACTAGGTACCTTATTATATATTCTTGTTACCACTGTACTTGTCCTTCCCAGCACTTATCACAACTGGGCATAAAAACTACAATGCTATCACTTGTTTAATTTCTACTCCCCTGCTAAAATATAAGATCCATGAGAACAGGAACCATGTGTGTATTCTTCACTAGGAACTGCTCCAGTGTCCTGTGTTTTGGATAGAAGACACTAAATAGTATAAGAATAAATAAGTCAACTACATGGTAAGACCATACTGTCACTTCCCAGGTTTGTCCAATGTAGCCTTGATGATTCCTGGGTTATCTTTGATGCGGAAGCTGGTTCCTGCTATAATTCTATCAAACTGTATGTTCTGGAGTTTGGGAGTTTAATACAGAATATATTCTATTCTCCCACTGAAATCTCACCCTACTTACAGCTTCATTTACATGACAGTTACTTGGTTTTCCTACTCTGATTACTGAATTTTAGCAAAGGTATTGTTTTAGCATATAGTAAATAATGCTCTGTTCAATTAGATCTATTTGTTTGAAACAGTTTATGTTCTATTATCACAAAGAAATCCAAAGTAGCTTACCCAATCTTGTTGATCCCTTAGGTCATATTTACTGCCTTGTGTTAACATTTTAAATTACTCTTATTATGATATTCTGCCTATGAAAATACATAATACTCTTTGTGCATAAAATCTAATTTCATACTTCTTACAAGTTTGACTTTAAATTCCTCTAGATTTAGTCTGCAAAGTGCATTCCAAATACGTCCTTTATAGTACATTTTTTAAAACATTATAATGATCAGTAGAAATGAGGAAAATATCTCAAATCCCATCATTACACACAACTTGTATTTCTCAATTCCGATTTTCTCTTTCAAATTAAAGATTGGAAAGAAAATCTAAGCGCAATCTCAAGACAAAATTATTCCCCCAGCTTCCCCCCTGCCCCAAATCTTCCCGTGAACACATCAGGTTCAAATTCTTTAACTTTTCATAAAAATTATCAGTACTGAAAGACACAACCTAGGATTGTTCCCACGGCATCACCCATATCCCATTAGAAATAGCCACTATGATGATAAACTTGGTAGCATCTCAAGTCTTAAATCATTATATAAATATGACTCATATTTATAAAAATTCCTAATTTTCAACTGTGATTCACTATGATGACACCACAAATTCCTTGAAAGTAGGGATCCTGTTATTCATATTTGAATTCCAAGCCCTAAAACTATCTAGAACATAGAAAGTCCTCCATATCCACCAGCTCAATTATGATGTATTTCTTCATCTTTCTTGCTTTACATGTAAAGTTATACCTAATTGACTTCTCTCTTCGTACATAATCATCTTTGAGGATAATGGAATAAAAAGGATATATTATTGGCTCTATTACTTCTTAGTCATACATTCTTGGGCAGCTTATTTATAATGTCTGAACCTTATTTCTCTTTTCTGGGAAGCAGGGAAAATAAAATCTACTTCGTGGAGTTCAACACAATAGTCCATGCAATGTTTGGACACAAGAGAAGGGAGGTACAGGCCTAAACTGAATCAGATGCTGCTGATGCCACAAATTTGCCAGAACTGTTTTCTCTATGCTGCCTTTAAGCCTACAACCCAGTGCTTCTTGACATTCCCCAAGGTGACAAATCAGTCACCTTTGAGAGTGGAATTAATTTGTAGAAGCAGCTAAAGTAATTACCTCTGGCTAAAGTAGTTGTTCATGCATACTTCTGTTAAGAGAGAGACAACTATAAATTACTGAGACTGGTTTTCTTGAATGGCTGTAACTGTCTCTAAGGCAACTTGTAAACAATTTAAGAAATTATTTAGGCAATGGCAGAAGCAGTGGAACGGGTAAACAGTCTCCCCACGTAAATTCTTTGAACAATACCATTCATTTGGATGTTTTAAATTGCAATGCTTATAGTTAAAAGCATAATATTCCCTATTTTATAGTCAAACTATAGTTATATTTTAAAACAAGCAGGTGGCTTAAGGTTAGAAATAATTTGCAAACCTTGTTCCTCATAGATTTGGTATGTTGCGTCATCTGAAAAAAAAATAAAAGCAAAATAAGTATTATATGAGTCATTCTATACAACTGTTTAGTTAAAACAAACAAAAAAATCTACTTAATCATAAACATTATTTCTCCAAACATTAATGTTTGCAGAGTCAATAATAAATGCCTCTGCCCAAAAGCAGTTAAAGGGCAGCTAAATTATTTTCATTAAAATTTCTCAAATTGGCATAGAGGAATTTGATACACAAAAGCAGCATTAAAATTTGGCATTCTTTTTTTGTTATGGAGGTGATGTTAGTGGATGAGGTGAAATATGAAAGCCTGATATTCTTACAACTAACTTTGTTATAAAACCAAATGTCATGCATTAGATGTCAAAATTACTTCTTTGGTGCCTTTAAAAGAAAAATCACCATGTAAACACAGCATGTGATTGAAAAACCTAAGGTAATATTTTACATCTAATGAAAATGCTCATGTAATATCTGTATCATGGTGCAATCTTTCATCTTCTACTACTGGTTCACTGGAATCTAAAAAACAAAAACACACCTTTGCCAAACAGGAAAAAACCAAACACCATTATAAGAGACTCATAAATTAAGTATTATCTTCACAACTTTGTCAGAAAGCTATTTTCATTATCATTTCATAAAATTTAAGCTGAATAACATTGCATAATTTGATGTCTAAGTCACAAAGATAGGAAAAAGCAGAACTTGGATTTGTACCCAGCCTGACTTTATAATATATCATACTGCCCCTTCCATTTCCCAATATTCTTTCCAGCACCCAACCTACAAAGACCAAAATCTCAACAGTGGTTTGAAAAATACATCTCCTTTTTCTCTCATCCCTCCATGTAAACTATATTCAGACATTTCTATAACTATCTGAGCAATCAAAAGTGATTATAAATGCCATACAGAGATCTCTGTGTTGAATCAGAATTGTTAACCCTGGAATAAAATGGCCTTGGCCACTGCCTCAATTGAAAAAACACATATCAATAACTTTAACATTTACAAACCTGGATTTTCCTGCTCAGACATCATCTCTTCCATATCCTGATTATAGTCTTGTGAAACTACAAATTAGGGAATAATTAGGAAATTACAAATATGACTCAAATAAGGAATACATGTAATATTCGAAACCAGAAAGAAACAATTTGTAGTTATGATAGAAATGCAAAATCAAGTCATAATGATATTCAAACATGTTCACTCCTGGACCAAGTAGCTTTTAAGTGTGTTAAACGCCAAATGCAAAGATGAGTAAGGGGGTCCAGTCATCAATTGGTTTATATTTGAAGCGCAAAATAGTAAAGTGCTGACAGATGACGTGTCCACTCCTGTGGCCGTGCCCTTTAAGGGTGCTGGCATGTGACAAAACATGATTTAGACTTTTCGTTGACTTTGTAATTGAAAGCTACAAAACAGACAATTCCATTCAACCTTTCAAACTAGTAATCCTACCAAGAATGGATCCTCAGGAAATAGCCTTCAAAACCCAAAAGTATATTCACAAAGAAGTATCGTAAATTATAAGACATATAATTAATTGCAGATCTTGTGTATATTAATTTAAAATATATTAATAATAGATGCTATATACTTCTTTTAAAGGATGACTCACTTTAATTAAGAAAGAACAGCATTAAATTAAAATCTCACCTGTCTCTTCCACATGGTAACTATGCTCAGTTTCTGAAAAAAAATATATATATATTAGATTGATATTTAACTGCTTTTACAAAATGGTATGTATATATTCTATATATGTACTCTGAATCTTATGCTTATCATTAATTTTATTTTTTAAAAATGAGACTATCAATTAAAAGTCTGCCAAACACTTTTATATTTCACTAGAACTACATTCTGGGATGTCTCACACATTCTCCTTCTCAACTCACTCAACCCCACAAGGATGCAACCACCACCCCCTGCACTAAAGAGAGAAGACAACTCAGAGTGACACAGTGACAAGGGCTGGACCAGGAAAGCTGTTCATTTCTAATCCACTTCACATCCCACTACAATGTGCTATTTCCTGGACCTGTCCTATCATTTTCTAGAGTAAAAGTACAGCATCAACAGATGGGAACAGAGAGACAGTGGAAGAGGCTTTATACCTTTGGGGAGCTGAAGGGTAAATGTGTTGAACACTTAACCCATACACCCCAGATAGCAAAACAGCTGCCATCGTATGACCGTCACCACACTTGTGGCCTCGTTAATTTCACTGAATGTATATATAAAGAATAAATATTTTTATTTTCTGAAGACTTCTAACAACGAACTTTTAAGTTCAAACTGCATCAACGTCCCAATTAAAGATTAGATCAGAAAGTAGGATTTCTGCAATTTGTAAACTTCCTAGAAGTGTTTCTTTCTACTCCCAAACTGTGACTCCTAACTTTAAGAATATCAAATTCCTCATGTTTCTGTGTATTTGAGCATCTTAACTGAAATTTGTTGTATAAGCAACATCTAGATACAAAAACTCTGAGCAACTGTCAATTTTGCTGAGCCATTTTGGCAAAAGACTGGAGAGAAGCAGCAACAAGAAATGTGAAAGTAGTTTTATCAGTATCCTTACTCGGAAATTGGAAACACTGTCCCAAATGATTACTAAGGGCATAAAGTAAACCTAGTCTGTGAGTGCCTATTTTCAATGTACAATGCAGCAAAAATCAATCATATAGATATTCAAAAGTACTGTGTGTTTGTATTTTTCACAGAAAATTATGCATTATATACAATTCTTTTGAAAACCCAACCATCCCATATTTTCATGTAAAATGCATTTCCTGCTCTAAACAATAGACATGGACACTAAGTTTTGGAAATACATGTACTAATAAAGTAGGAGCTACCTGCTTCTCAAGTCATTTTCCAAAATATTTTGTATTGTGCAAAGCAGATAAACTACTTTTCATTATTTCTATGCTTTTAAAAAGTGCTGACTAACTGGACACACAATGACTCATGCCTGTAATCCCAACACTTTGGGAAGCTGAGGCGGGAGAATTGCTTGAGGCCATGAGTTTGAGACCAGCTTTGACAACATAAAGATACCTTGCCACTACAAAAAAAAAAAAAAATTGGCAAGGGATGGTAGCACAAGCCGGTGATTCCAGCTACTCGAGGGGCTGAGGTGGGAAGATTGCTTGAGCCAGGGAGGTCAACGCTGGAGTGAGCTATGTTCAAGCCAGTGCACTTACCAGCCACATTGGGTAGGATTTTACAAATTAGTTTTATAAAAACACAGCCACACTGACCCACTTAGGAACTGTCCCCGGCTGCTTTAATGTTGTGATAGCAGAACTGAGTAGCTGAAGAGAGTCTGTATAATCTAGAAAACCTGAAATATTTACTCTCTGGCTATTTACAAGAAAAGTTTGCCAATGCCTGGTATATAGAAGCTAAGAATTGAATCCTGCTCACTATAATTACAGAGTTCATGTAAACACATGAGCCTGTGATAGATTATGAAGTCCAATATTTTATCAGTTGTTTGACTTTCATTTAGGAAACAGCACCCTAAGCAGAAGTAGGTATAGTAAAACTATTTTCCTGGAATATTTCACTTACTATTTATAAGAAATTTGTATATTCTGAATATTCTGTTTCCCTGAAAAGTGCCTTGAACCAAAATCAATATATCTATTTTAAGAAAAAATTTGCTTTAATTGAAGCTTTAAGCTTCAAGTTTTAAAAATCTAAGCAAAAGTTAAATATCAGTTTTAAAGGGATTTAAGAAACACTTCTTAAGTGATTATAAGTCATTGATTGTATTTTATCCTGAAACTTGAAAAAAAGTATTCTACCTTCATGAAACACTTCGGGTTCCAGGGTCTCAAATCTATCGCCGACATCAGTCACCGTAAGGAAATCCTCATCCTCTGGTTGTGGTTCTCCTGCTGGTCCATCTTCTTCTTGTTGCAGGTCTTCTCCTTCAACAATGACAATGAACAAAGTGCCACTGGTCTATAGTGAAGACCCACTGGCAACAGCCAACTGAGACACGAAAGCTCCTTGTAAACAGCCGCCACACACCCACTACTGCTGCTGGGCAGTCCCCTGCCCCTCCTTTTGGCCACTGCAGACCAGACACCATTGTTCAGTCCACAGTTACTTTCATCCTCTGGCCAAGTGCTAATCTGCCTAAGTATATGTGGTGCCAGACAGGTTTCCTCTCATTAGGATGTGAACTCACCAAGGACAGGAAGCTTATATATTTTATTCATTATATATTCCCAGCCACCTAGGGCCATGTCTAGCTACAGGAAGCACTCCATAAATATTTGATGAATGAATAAATGAATTCATAATTATTACTAATATATTTGCCTCTTTAATTATCCTCAGATCAGTGAAAAGGCTACTTGGCTACTTGTATGGCCTTTTCCTGGGAATTGACATAGAAGTCCAGGTAACAACTTTATTCAAATATTACTTTTCCTGGGAATTGACGTAGAATTCGAAGTAACAACTTTAAATGACTATTCAAATATTCTACAGCAAAGAGTGACTAGCCACCTATCTAAAGTATATGCTAGGGCGGGGCGTGGTGGCTCACCCCTGTAATCCCAGCACTTTGGGAGGCTGAGGCAAGCAAGATCACTTGGGGTCAGGAGTTCAAGACCAGCTTGGCCAACATGGTGAAACCTCATCTCTACTAAAAATACAAAAATTAGCTGGGCATGGTGCGAGTGCCTACAGTCCCAGCTACTCCAAAGGCTGACGCAGGAGAATCTCTTAAACCTGGAAGAGGAAGTTGCAGTGAGCCAAGATCATGCTACTGCTCTCCAGCCTCGGTGACAGCGTGAGACTGTGTCTCAAAAAAATAAATAAATAAATAAAATAAAATAAAAATAAATCATATGCTAGGTCACAGGTTTAACCAAATCATACTATGCATTCAAATGTTCCTATTAGGCTTTAAGTTATGCAAAGACACCCATTTCTCTTCTGAGATTAACTTCTATGATACACTGAGCTGCTCTGCTTCTTTTGTGTAGTGTTTGGACATGTTATATTATTCTACCACAACATAGTTAAGACAGGTTATTTCATTCCAATGCAACTTGAGCTGGCTTCCAGCAGAGTACCTCCTGTGTATAATACTAAAGAAAGTAAATGGGCAGGACTTGGCTTTGCAGTGCAGCTCAGGGATTAGGAGGAGTGCGGGATCTGGAATGCACGGCTGTAGATTTAAGCTGTTCTGTACCAGCTGCGTGACTGTGGGCAAATTACTTAACTATCCTGTGCCCCAGATTTCCCTCCCATTAAATGGGAATAACATCTATTTGTAACATTGTTGTGAAGATTAAAACACTTAGAAAAATGCCTGGGCCTAAGTATTTAGATGTTATTATCATCACTATTACAGTAATAAACAACATTGCCACTTCTACTGCTACTGAACCCCCCTACCCCGAAACCCCAGCCCAGACTGCAAGAAGCCTTCCTCAGTTACCCCCCCTTTAGTGTGGCAAGGTGATGCTCTCCGGTGTTAGTGCATCAGGCAGGCCTATTCATGTTGATGCTATTTGTTTTCTGTCTTCTCCTCATAGCTTGCTATTTTGTTTTTCCTCATTTCAGATTTTCTGCTATTCAGCAAACCAATCGCCAATTTCAATTTGTTACAAATTTTACTTCTTTTTCTCTTTTTTATCATATTCCTCTTTCCTTATTCTGCTTTCATTCTATCCAGTGCAATCTGATGATTTTTATACTAGCAGGATTTAGCTTTCGTATGTAGCTGTTCAATGGAAGTATCCCTGTTTTCTGCAGGGAAGCCAGTCAAACACTGTACGCTATCTTTGAGTTTCTACTGCTCAGTGATAGCCTATCATGAAAAACTTCCTGAGGTTTCACGAGACTCTAGGTATGACCAAGCCCTCTGCAGCTGTTATATCCTCCCTGTGCAGTAGGTACTGGTATCCGACTCTGAAAGATGAACAACTTGAAAAGCCACACGGCTAATCAATGGCAGACGTAGGACCTGGATCCAGTTGTGAATGTACCAAGATGGGGGCAGGGAGATTACGTTCAGTCAGAGACATGATTGGGCAGGGGTGGGAAACACATCTCAGTGAAAGATATACCAGGTGCCGGAGCACCAAAGCAGTGATAGGTTTGGCAATTACAAGGAAAAGAGAGGACAGTTGGGCTAGAGAAAAGTCACTGAAGGGGAAAAAGAGGCTGGAGCTAGATAAGCCACGACTGGTTGGGCCACATTAAGTATAACAGGTTATAGGGGAGCAAGTATGAAAACAGTGACACCCAGCTGGGTGCTACTGTGCTACTGCAACCATCATGGCCAGAAGCCACAATCATACGGGGCCCTAGAGAGCCAAAATCAGTGCTGGGGGCAATGCCGACAGGACTTGCTGATGGATTAGATGTGAGGGAAGAAGAAAAGAAATCAAAGAAAACTCTTGAGTTTTCAAGTTAAACAACCAAGAGCGTAGGAAGACCATTGACTAAAATATAAAAAGACTAGCGTAAGCAGTTTAGGGAGGATTGGGGTGAGGAGGGGCTGTGAGACGTAAGAAGAATCATGAGTTCTGTGGCAGGCATGCTTTAAGTCGCAGACACCCATAAGACATCCAAATGGAGATTCCAAGTATGCAGGTGAGTAAACCTGGAGTTTAGATGAGCAATCAGGGCTACAGCCATATATTTATATGTTGAAGTCATCAACATATAAAGGATATTTATAGCCATGGGCCATAAATGTGACTTTCTAAATGTAATTAAAGAAAAGAACAAGTGCAAGAAGGAGGCTGTGCTAGACTTCACTACTTCCCTCTTTTGGCTGGCTGCCCACCCACCCCTGCCCAAACGTCTTACGGGTCTATTTCTCTCCATTCCCTGCCTTTGGCTGAGGCAAATTTACTATCATCCTGAATCACTGTGTTACCAGCACAACCTCCGTCTTGTCTCCCAGCTGCACTCTTGCATCCGTTCCAAGCATTTTTCAGACTACAGACAGAATCGCACAACACTCCTAAATACCTGCCCCAATGGCTTCAGTTACTCTTAAAATCAAGTAAAAAGTACCCTTTTTCTCATGACCCTCCACCTACATATTCCATGTGCCAGCCATGATGAACTATTTTCAGGTTCTCTCCTGTCTCTGGGATATGCCCTTTTCTTAAAACACTCACCACCAGCACTGGCCTAGAGAAGGTCTACACCAGGCGCTTCTGAGTAATCTCTAAAGATCATCTGAGTTTTATTGCCATGACAGCATTTATCCCATTATATTTAAGTCATTTATTCATTTAGACTGCATTTTCCTTCTGTTAAAGTTGGGGGAAAGGGGGAGGAAGTACTAAAAAGGGGAAGCCTGAACTTGCTCATACAGGCCAATGAGTGGTTTTCCAGGCTGCAAAGAAGCTAGAAATAAAAGGGTACAGGCTCCTACACCCCTAGCATCCACTGGCAAAAACCAATTGACACTATTGGGCACTGTTTGTTTTTAAGAAACATAATTTATTTTCCTTTAGGCCACCCTTGGATCACACCAAACCATTAAAACGATCAGGATTCCAGAGCATTCTGCCCTCTCCAAAATCCCTTCATGAATTACGTTTTGGGATCACGATCTCTGTTTTTATCAAGGGATGCTTCAAGAAACAGTCTGTTAAAACTTTAAAACACTAGTTTCTGGACTACTATTATCCTCTACACAGAGCTCCCCATGAGAAATTTTTAAATCTAAGTGCTGGGAAAATGTTTTATATTCGTGTGTGTGTGTGTGTGTGTGTGTGTGTGTGTGTGTGCTTAATGCAACCTAGGTAATTAAAAGTTTGTTTTTGTTCTGGTGACCGGCCAGACATGAAGCAAAATTGAGGGTGGAAGACAGCAGCTGGATGAGCCTGAACGCTGGCCTGAGTCCCACTTCCCTCCTCTCCGCCCTCCCTTTCTGATGGATCACTGATGGATCACTGTTTTCAATTTGTTCATTCTCATTTATTCCCCCAGCTCTCTCTTAGATGTATGCACTGAGTTCCTCCACAGTGAGGTGGAATAAAATAACCATAGTGCTATTTCAAAAACACCTGCTAACTTTTAATTCAAACTTTTTAAAAAAATACAAACACCCAATTAACTTTTAAATTTTAAATGTCCAAATCATTTTATATAACTAAGCGTTATTTTAGTAACTCAAGACAAGGAGCAGATTTTAATTCATACCATGTTCTGCATGCATCATTTCATGGAGAAGAGACTGAATTTGTTCTTTTGCTTCATCTTCGATATTCTGGGGTTCTAAAATAATTGTAAAACATAGCTAAGTAGAAAAGTTCAAACATTTACATGGAACTCCTAACACTCAAATATGGCATTGGTGCATACACATTAAAAGGAACACATCTGACCAAGCAACTATGCATTCTTTGTCAGCTTACCACATTTTTGTTCTGTGTTGGAAAACATGGTAGATATGTAAAATTTGTTTTACTCTGTCAACAGACTAAAGTGTTAAAAGACTTTCAATAAGGTTTTTAAAGAAAGAAAACTAACTCAGGTTCAGATTTTTATTTAAACAAAAAGCCTTATTAAAAGTAAAATGACCAGTTTCTAATGAATAAAATTTGCAATAATGATAAAGTGGGAAGAACAAAGCTTTCATAAAGGGAAATAGTTGGAAATAAAGACAGAAATGTGGAAGACAAGGTCAATACAGATTGATGTATCTGGTCAACCACTACCTATCTTTCCTGACAGGAGAAAGTGCGCTCTTGCAGGTGTGTGGACTGAGTACTCAGAGATGGCCCACTGCTGTCACTCAGGTTTGTCAGGAAGTGCCAGTAGAATACCTTACATTGTAACTGACAATCCTTTCAGTTTTGGAGAGCCATAACTTACATTGAGATCCATAGATTCAAATAAGGTAAATTACAAAAGTGAACATTATGATGACATTCCAAAAACACTGTGGAGCTTATGAGAATATCAGATTTAACTGCAACATCACACAATAAACAAGAAGCTATAACTACATTGATGCTGTTATAAGTTCTCTAGTAAACATAATCTATGTTCAGTGAATAAAAGTAGCACTACACTTGGTAACCTAAACGCTGTCATGTGAGATAATGCCAGTGACATCAGTTATGTCAAAGAGCTAATCTTCCATGACAATAACAGAATAAGTTAATTTAGATTTCAGGAAGGGAAACGTTTAAATGTAATATATATTATGCTAATCACACTACAAAATCATTTCCAAAGCATAAAAATGCCTATTTTTAATAGATGTTTCCATTTCACAAGCCATTTATATATGCAGTCTTATGCAATTATAGAGTCGACCAATTGCCATCCTCTCTTAAAAAGCCTAAGATAGCTTCCTAGCTGGATTCCCCGGTTTATAACTGCTGAAATCACCATCCAAAGAGAATATATTTGAGTTATTACAAGTGGAGGGTGGTGAATTCTGCTCATTCTTTAATGGCTTCCTTTGCCCATACAGGTCAAAGTCTCGGGTCCTAGGAGCAGAACATAATACCTCCACAACTAAGTCCTCACATACTTCTCCAGAATCATCTGCTACCAGCACTAGCTTTGAACTTAGTGAGGACTCCATGCCATTTCAACTTTCCATGATTTTGCAAATACTCCTTCTCTCTTCAGGAGGGGATTGGTAGAGGCAGAAGCCAGAGTGTAAAGGGTTAAAAAAATGAAAGAAAAATAAGGTAAAAAAGTAATTGTGGTTCTTCTCTCAAAGTGTGGCTGTTTTAGAGGGGAGAGGGATTAGGTGGCAAATAAAAAAAGTGGGGGTCAAGAAAGGCTTTTAGTACAAAGTAAAATGTGAGGTGCTATATCCAAACACACATTATAAAACTTTTTAAAAGTTACTCTCTGTTCTGGAGCTATGATATAATCATAGCAATTCTACAGGAATGAGAGAGAGCACATTGTCCTAGAATTAAAAACTCAACAACAAAACTCAGAGCAGTATATTGGCCTTAAAGGAAGAAAAATTAAATATTATTCCTCAGAATACAGGGAAAAAATCAGCCAAAGTACCATTTGGATCCAGTACTTAAGTTTTCAGTAAATATGTGGTGTCGTTCCTTACATTTCCAATAGGTGGCATAAGAAAACCAGAGTTTTAGAGACTGTATTAGATTTAATAATTTATTAAAATATTTCATGACTTTCCTACCTATAGGTCATAGGCGTTGGGGTAATTACACAGATGCTTGATTTGTGAATCCATGTAGACACAAACCAAGCTCCATAGATGACCGCAGGGAGGTTTGGGAAGTCTTTTAAGATAGAGACCTTCATATAAAAAAGACTGAGAAACCACTAGATCAATTCTATTAAATCACATGACAAATGATAACACTAGTGTGGAATTGTGTGTATTCTTACTTTCAAGGTAATATAGTGCAATAGTGCTAGAATTGGAATCAAGAAACAACATTTCAGCTCATGATGTTCCTGCGTGGTCCTGGACAAAGAACAACTACCTTAGATCTTAAAAATTAAAATTATCCTGTGCCAATTTCTACTAGAACAAAGTAAGTTTACTATATAATTTCAGAAGAGGAAAAAAAAAGTAGTTAATTATTCTGTAAACGATGTGAAACAAATTCCAGGTAAAACATGATTCTGTAAATGAGGATACCTGTCAGGCTCTGGCACACCTGGGTGAGACTCAAGGATGAGAACAAGCTTACCTGCCTCCATGGGAGCCTGTTCCTCGGGCTCAGCGTGTGGCTCAGCCTCTTCTGGTGGGACTGCTGGCTCTGAAGTAGATCTCTCTTTAAGTCCTGCATTTTTTTATTCACAAAGTTAACTTGAGTTTTTGTGGGGTTTTCTGACATATTAAACCAGGAAAAATAATATTCTCAAACATGTAACCAATAGTGCAAGTAATTAATAGTTTCTGGAATTATGTGCTTAAAAGCTGAGGTAGGAAAATAGTTTGCTCTTCAATTTCACATGAGCCTTTAACATCTCTTTGTCTAAGTTAGCTTTTCACTTCAAATTAAAACAAAATCTTTGTTTAAATTTTCATGATTCTCTAAAATAGTCACGTCTAAACCTGCCAAAAGTTCAGTATGAGTTCAAGCTCCTTTTGTGTTCGTAAGTGATTAATTAATTCCTAAGTCCTGAAGTTCAAATTCAGCAATGAGGCAACTAAGAAGGACTTGAACTTTTTGTTATTCAGGTACACTCCATGTTTTCACTGATATAACTATTTATTCTACTCGAAAAATAGTTAAAAAGAAATCATACATATCTATTTATAATCTTCTAAAGGAAACCCCTACAAGTAATCATATTATTCTACAACAGCTAAAATACATGAGAATTTAAAGGTTCTTCTTCCTTTTATAGGTCCTAAAGAAAATAAGATATCAGGGTAAATTAGCATGAAAACTGATTTTGAAGTGAAGAGCAATCTAAAATCAATTATATTAAGTTTGTTATTTGAAGTTACTTGATATTATACATGTGGAACATTAAAATGGGTCCTCAGTTAAGTACAACTATTTAGAAAACAGCTAAATTCAAGAGTTTGAAGATTCTATTTGCTGATCCTGGACTCCTCCCGACCTCATTCACAATCTCCTACCAAGTGTTGTTACTAAAGGGAATGCTCTGTGCATGGACAGCCTGCAGGCAACAGGAAGGTCAAGGTGACATGAGAAGCAGTGTTCTAATCTTAAGCAGCTGTGTGCAGCTCCTGTGCGTACAGGACCACCAATGTGGTCTCATTTCAATGTATTTTACGTTTATTATTTTTCCTTTTCACTTCTTTTTTCTATGTCTCATTTTTCTCTTATTGACAAAAACAAACACATTCCTCTTCCCAAATCTTAAAAGAAACAGAGACAGAAACACACGGCCCTGCCGCATCACTTACATTTCCTCCAGTTACCATTTGCAACACTACTTCCACACAAAACTTACCACCAGTATACCTGACACCAACACATACAGTTAGCTGTATTCTACATGTAAGTTACCTCTAACTGTAAGACAGATTGCAAAGGGATTATACACAGGTCTTAACTGTAGTTCAAGTTCAGGGAGTAGGGGGTAGAGATGAAGGCCAAGTAAAGGACATCACATTTCAAATTCAAATTTAGGGCTGCCCACCCTTTTCCCATTTAAATAATCATTTTTACATCCCTCAACTGTTAATGAAACAGGTTTGGAATGATTCATTGCTAAGTTCTGCTGCATGAATAGGAAAATGCTCAAGAATCATAAGAATCAAGTAATTTATTTGCACTGTCAGCACCTCAGCTAACACCTGGCACATGGCAATTGCTCAATGAACACTTGCTGAAGGGCTGAATACACCCAGTGGTGTGACTACTCTGCTAAGTCTAAATGACTGTGGAGATTCCCTGCAGGGCCAGGGCTTCTTAGCTGTACTCCAGTAGCTGAATGCTCACATCAGTGAGCATTTCTGGGATCAGTATTTCTCTACTCCTATGTACCAGAGATCCACATTTCTGCTCTAGGATCCACCATTTCAGTGCCATGAGTCTAGTTCGCCTGAGACACTCCCAGTTGATGTCTGCTGTCCTGGAATTATTTCACTCTCAAAACTAACTGTCTGAATGAAAAATTACAGGGTCATCTTTCACTAACCCCACTTGTAGCAGGCTCTCAAACTATGTTCCATGTGTTACACAAGCAATGAAATATTTTCCCAATAAAGAATTAAATTGCCTAAAAATCCCAATCTTGAGGATTTTGAAGTTTCATTTGAAAAAAAAAAAAATTCTAATGCTAAGTGTTCAAATACTACTAGTATACCAATATTCTGACATACAACGCCCCCAGAGTTAGCTTTAACTCAACCTGAACTTATTTGTCTCTAAAATTGAAATTGCAAAACATTTAAAAACAGGAGAAAGCAAAAGCACATCGCAAAAAATACTGAGGTTTTTTTGCCCTGTCCAAAGTGGCAGGTGAATCATAAAATCATTAATACCTGGTCATAGCTATTTCCGGAGATGAAATCAGCACAAAAATAAACTATATTGTAAACTTCAAAGAAGCTGAGATCATATTGGTATATCTCCTCCTCTAGACTTTTATAAACTTTTTAAAACTTAACAAAAACACATACTAGAGTATAATTGCTTTAACAACCCATATGGAAGAATTTGCCCGACAAGCTTTTATTTCAGGATTTCCAAAAAAAACTTTTTTGCAACCCAAACTCATTTTAGTTCTATAATTTGAGGAAAAAAAAGCAAGCAACAATGAATCAAGAAAAGTAAATGCTTATAAGCTCAATTCAGTCAAAGGAAAGGTTTTCAAAATGGATTTATTATGAAGTACAAGTGGCAAAGATGTAGCAATGAAATAAATATTCAAAATTAGGTTATGACACGAGATGTGTCAGTTCTGATGTCCATGGGGCTGCATTTAACAAAATGCCAGCTTACAATGGTTGAGCAGGAAGGAAATTTATCATCTAACTAAACATGAAGTGTGGAGGTGGCTGGCTGGCTCACAGGCCGAAATTCTTCCTTAGGCTGGCAATCAGAGCTCCCGAGCTGCAAGCTTCTTTTTCAGACAAGGCGATGTCCAGAAGCAAAAGGACCATCTCTTGCTCTGTTTCTTTCTTAGGCTTGAGGAAATCTTTTCCAGAGGCCGCTGACAGTCTTCCCTTTCAGTGTTTATCATCAGGACTGGGACCCACTTTTCTACGCTGGCAAGAGGAACAGGGTGTCCACTGCTGCCTTCCAGTCATTATAGGGTGAATAGAAATTGCCAGTCCACAGCAATGGCAACAACATGATTTGGAAAATATACTAATTCCCTTAAAACATACCTTGGTTTTAGTTCTTTAGGTTCATCAGATGCACCTATTAATTCAAGGAACTATTCTATAATAAATGAAAACAACATACCTACCTTCCAGGGGAGAGAGCAATTTAAAAAGAAACATGGACTGGGTGTGGTGGCTCACACCTGTAATCCAGCACTTTGGGAGGCCAAGGCGGACAGAACACAAGAGCAGGAGTTCGAGATCGGCCTGGCCAATATGGTGAAACTCTGTCTCTACTAAAAATACACACACACAAAATTAGCCAGGTATGGTGGCGCACATATGTAATTCAGGCCACTCAGGAGGCTGAGGTGGGAGAATTGCTTGAACCCGGGAAGCAGAGGTTGTGGTGAGCTGAGATGGCACCACTGCACTAGAGCCTGGGAGACAGAGCGAAACTGTGTCTCAAAAAAATAAAAATAAGAAACATGAACTATTTAGAGCATATTGGATGGGGACAGAGGTACAGGAAAGACATGGAACAGGGTGAACATTAGGGAAAAGTGAGGGTGAGAACTATTCATAATACTTTGGCAAAAGGACTCACTGATAACATGTGAACAGACCCTGAGGAAATCAGGGCTGTGGCTATGTAAGTTTCGTGTGTGTTTCAGGTAGGGAACAGCAAGTACAGTCATGAGTTGCTTAACAACAGGGATACATTCTGAGAAATGTTTGTTGAAATGTGCCATTAGGAAATTTCACCATTGTGGGAACATCACGGTGTGCCTAGGCAAACTTAGAAGGTATAGCCTGCCACACACTTAGACGATATGCAATATCCTATTGTTCCCAGGCTACACAACTGTATAGCATGTACTGTAATGTACTGAATATCGCAGACAACTGTAACACAAAGTACTTGTGTTTCTAAACACAGAAAAGATACAGTATAAATATGGTACTATGATCTTATGGGACCACTATCATACATAAGAAAGGTGGCTGAGGCACCAGGAGAGGTGTGCATTTCAGAAAGGCCCTGGATGCTGGATCCAAGGGCTGTGACTTGAGGGAACACGAAGTATTTACTTCTCATGAGAGTTAGAAGGAAGCCACTCCCTCAACAAAACCTGGGGAACAATTATAAACTTATTTTGTTTCATAGAATTTCATACAAGTAGCCTATAAAAAGCTAAGAAGTTTTTTTAAAATTAATGTTTTAATCTTTGGTTTACTAATTCAAAGGCGTACAGATGAAGGAAAATGTATCCATACCAATCTGGGTTACTCTGGCTATGGTTATTGCTCAGAAGTGGTACTGTTTCAGTTGCGAGTAGTCTAGCAGTATAAATCAATTTACCCCCAGATTATGGCTCACAGGTACACAAAATTTGGGAAATATTCTGGAAAATCAATACTCCAGAAAGGTATGCCTACTAGGTAACCATGCCAATCCTCATTGTTGCTCCTGGCTTATATAATCAGTGAATACAGAGCTTTCCTAGTTTACCAGCAGCAGTCCCAGAACTTACCAAAGTTCTGAGACTACCAGGTACTCAAAGCCACCCCATGATATGCAGTAAGAGCCATTCCAGATTCAAAGCATCTTTACATAACGTAAGATGGACAGGCAGATTTCAAACAGACATAAATTACAAGAGAATTAAACACTGGCAATAAGGTTCCCAAGAGCCTGGTTTCAGCACCAACGAAGGGACTGCACAAACACCGAAGAGAGGAGATTCATAAAAAATGCAATTAAAGGGCACACAATTCAACATGGTGTGTAAGAGTTTGGGCACCTGGGACAAGAGGATGTCTTTGAATTCCATTTGAATTCCACGTCAGTGTTACCACAGCTATACTTTTTGGTTTCCACAAATGCAGAAAGAGGACAAAACAGGACCCCTCCGAACGGCTTTAAGAATTAAATGAGATAATAAGTATTTTTCAAAAAATTTACCTTTTATTTTCTTCTTAAAAAAAGATCTTTAAACTCCCTCCCTGGCCACCTCTTGCACACATGCACACAGCAACATAAACACAGTTAACAGGCAACTTCCAAGGTAGTTAAAACACTGCAATTATTGAACAATCTTTTGGGTTCTTTAAAAACACACACACACAGTTTTCTTCTTCCTAATATTCTTCAACAGTATATACAGACCTCAAGTATTTTTAGATGATTTGTTTTGTATATTCGCCATTCAATAAACAAACATTGAATGCCTATCAGTGTCAGTTACCAGGACAGGTGCTGGAGATAACTCGTAGTTGGCAGCAAAGTCCAGGAATGAGGCAAAGAGATGAGTGTGATAACACAAGCGGGACAAGTGCAGCCACTTGGGAGGGTCAGAGATGTCTGAGTCAGAGGTGATGACTGGCTTGGGTCCCATGGGAGAGACAAAGGCAGCCCACCACGCAGAGCAGGAGCACGTTCTAGGTGGAGGGACTAGCGGGCCGTACTGACAGTCACTCTAGTCTCGTTACTTTCTCCCTCAGTCCCTTGTTTATTTCACAGCATATCACTGCAGGGATAGCAGCCACCTCAATCTCTTGTATCCCCCATGCCTTGCCCAGTCCTTGGCATGCTGCAGATACTCAGAAATATTAACTGAGTCAATAAATGGGAACTACAGACACAGCATGTTGGTATTACATAATTATCAAAAATAACAATGGCTTTAAGCATAGACCATCTTCCTCTAATAGGATACAAGAGAAGTAATACATAAGGCAAAGAAGATGGAAACGAGAGGCAGACCTCTATGACGTATGCATACCTGACTTAATATGGAGCAATAAATAGATACAAAAAGTGAAATCAAGTGGGGTATTAAATGAAAACAAAGAAAAAAGAAATGAATGACTTTCTGCTTTGCATAGCTGATAGAGTTCTTCCAGAAATTGATTCCTATCTAAAAATGATGGCCAAACAAGAAATAAACATTTAGCTTATACAATTATATTCTTAGGCAAATGGAGAAGAAAGGATAAGAGACAAAAGATTGTTACTGAGGAATCTTTCAGATCAGCCCAAACAAGATTTTCATGAAAATAATCTTATGGGTCGGCTACATAACACTCATCCTTTAGTTTCCCTAACACAAAAACTCTCATTTTAAACAGAACAGGGGCAAAATGGAGAGAGCTTAACAACAAAATAAACTTCATTACCTGATATCTAAATGGCAACATTTATTATTATATCAGTATTCTCTTACATTCTTTCAGCGGTCTAAAATTATTGTTTGACCTATAATTGTTTGGAATAAGATCGCTCTCTTCTCCACAGCTTTTTTCTTTTAATTTTAAATTATAATTTCGACTTCTATTTAGATTCAGGGAGCACATGTGCAGGTTTGTTCCATGGGTATATCGTGTGATATCGAAATTTAGAATATGAATGATTCCATCAC